GAGGTCGCTGTTTGGGCCTGGAGCCAGCCCCATTGCAGCCAGCAGAGCGGGAACGACTGGTGGGCGGCCGGTAGGAGTGGTGGCAGGCGGCCAGCAGAGCAGCTGGTGGGAACGGCCGGCAGGCGGCTGGTAAGAGCAGCACAAAGGTGGCATAGCCTCAGGTTCAAGGAGTAGAGTCATCAGGATGATGTGTCAGGGACAGACCTGTAAGTGGGGCGTTTGACGTGGGGTACGGAGAAAGTTTGGGTAAGTGAATGGAACCCTTACCTTGTTGGACTGGTGAGCCTGAGAGGCAAAAGACATTGCTCAATCCTTGTGCTGGGCCAGTTTCTCGTGGGAGAGGGGGCTACGAACTCTGTTTGTGGTATGTTCCCAAGATAATGCCATGTGACTTCTCTCTCTCTTTCATTAAAAGTTTCTTTTCGACACTCAGACTCGGTGCTTGCGAGTGGGGAAGCATTGCCTCTCAGAGGTGCTCAGAGGTCTGTGAATTTCCCAGGCTACTGAGTGGGGGCTCGAGCCAGTTCTGTGAGAGATGGACCCCTAGATATTGAACCTGGCCCTGGTTGCTGTCGAGCCTACCTGACAAAAGGGTTACATTTTGGGGGCTCGTCTGGGATTACTGGGTTAGTACCCCTCGCAAGCACATGTTGAGTGAGTTGCTAAGTGGGAAATAATTGTGTTTTGTATTTGAGGAAATTACTGTTTGTATCATGGCTAATCTGTCGGGTTTGTTGGGCCCTGGCTCAGAAGCCTCTAGCCCTTGGGGACAGACATTGGAAAAGTGTGTGCTATCCTATGCTATGGCAAGCTCCTATTATAAGTTAAGATTATTTCCTGAGGAAGAGGAGTTTGAACCCTGGCTAGAATACACCACTGAAATGCTAGAGCAGTGGGCGGTGCCAGACAGAGAAAAGCGAAAATGTCTAGTAGAGAGTCTCAGGGGCCCAGCCTTTGATGTGATTCGCACCTTGAAGCTCACTGATCCCGAGGTCAGCATAAAGGACTGTTTAGAGGCTCTCACTCACACCTTTGGGGGCATGGAGGGCCCTGAAGACAGTTACTGTAACTTTCTCGACACTAAGCAGCATCGGGGAGAGACGGTCTCAGCCTATGTACAGAGGTTGGACAGGCTGCTACAGAGAGCTGTCATTAGGGGAGCAGTGACTGCCAAGCAGATGGACCAGACCAGACTGGCTCAAATTGTAAGAGGAACTCAGTATTACAGCCCAATTTTACTTCACCTCCACGTAAGAGAATGACAGGAACACTTACTCCGAGCTGATAAAGGAGGTCAGAGAGGAGGAAGAAAGAGGCTTGCTAGTGAGTTTGGGAGGTGCCTGAGCTAGCCGGCACTGCACCCCGACAAACGGAGAGGCTGTGTCTACATTGGCAAGTCTTGCCACCTGTCTACACTAGCCGCGAGTACTTGCGCAAGAACACTGACATTCTAATGTATAAAATCAGTGCTTCTTGCACAAATACTCTGACGCGCCCACTCAGGGATAAGCCCTCTTGCGCAATTGTTCTTGCGCAAGAGGCCAGTGTAGACAGGCAATGTTAATTTCTTGCGCAAGAAAGCCCAATGGTTAAAATGGCCATCGAAGCTTTCTTGCGCAAGAGATCATCTACAATGGCACGGATGCTTTTGCATAAAAGCACATCTCTTGTGCAAAGGCACATGCCAGTGTAGACACTTTCTTGTGCAAATACTTTAATGCAAAATCTCTTGCGTTAAAAGTATTTGCGCAAAATCATGCCAGTGTAGACGTAGCCCCAGTGGGCTGATGGTGAACACCAGAGGAGACCTTGCACAACAAGTTCAGTTCCTGACAGAACAGATTGCTGAGTTTCAGAGAGTCATTGACCAAGCAAGGATTTACAATGATGAGGAACCTCAGGCTGTGGTGATGGAGAAGTCAGCTCCTGGAGCTGCCATCCTACCCAGATGAAGGAGGAGAGGACCGTTCTTCTGCTACTGGTATGGTCAAGATGGGCACAGGGCTGCAAGTTGCCAAAATGAGGAAAATTCCAGTTTAGTTTATGGAAAGCTGAGAAGCAGTTGTGAGATGGCCTGGGGACAGGGGCCACTCAGGCCCACAGGATTTGAAGGACTCCCCAGAAATGACTGCTCAGTTAGGATCCCTTCAGGACTGATAGGGCCTTGAGAGGAGGTCACAGTAAGGATTGAAGGGCAGAGTGCAAAGCGATGCTTGACACCGGATCACAGGTGACTATTATATTTCAGTCATTCTACTAACAGATGCTCAGGCACCTGCCTATCCAGCCATTGACTGGCCTTGGCCTGTGTGGTCTCAGCGTGAATGAATATCCCTACAAAGGATATGTCATAGTGCACTTGCAATTCCCTGAGGAGGTAACAAGGGTAAGACAGGAGGTGGACACTGCTGCTTTAATATGCCCTGACCCTAAAGGAGCCTCTGATGTGTCCGTGCTAATAGAGACCAACTCCAGCCTTTTTAAGGTACTTGCAGATTACTGCAGACAGTGAGCAGG